TTTTTTGGTCCTGGGGCTTGAACTCAGAGCTTGGGTGCTGTTCCTGAGCTTCTTTTTGCTCAAGGCTAGCGCTCTACCACTTGAGCCACGGCCCACTTCCAGCCTTTTCTGAGTAGTTTATTAGAGATAAGAATCTTACAGACTTTACTGCCTGGGCTGGCTTCAGACTGTGATCCTCAGATCTCAGCCTCCTGAGCAGAGCAGGATTATAGGCTTGAGCTACCAGTGCCTCACATCATTTGCTTTTTGCTTTTTTTTTGGGGGGGGGGATGGGTCTTGGGGCTTGGACTCAGAGCCTGGGTGCTGTGTCTGAGCCTGTTTGTGCTCAGTTGAGCCACAACACCACTTCTGGTTTATGAGTGGTTAATTGGAGATAAGAGTGTCATTTTCTGCCTAGGCTGGCTTTGGACTGTGATTCTTAGTTCTTAGCCTCCTGAGTAGCTAGGATTACAAGTGTAAGCCACTGGCACCCAGCTTCCATTTGTCTTTTTGTTAGTTTTTTTTTTGGGGGGGTGTGGGCCCTGGAGGTTCGGTCATGAGGCTTGAACTCTGAGCCTGGGCACTATCCCTGAGCTCCTCAGCTCAAGGTGATCACTTTACTACTTGAACAGTGCCACTTCTGGTTTTCTGGTGGTTAGTTGGAGATGAGTCTTACAGACTTTCCTCCCTGGGCTGGCTTTGAATTGTGTTCCTCAGATCTTAGCCTCCTGAGTAGCTAGGATTACAGGCTTGAGCCACTGGTACCCAGCTTCCATTTGCCTTTTTTTTTTCCCCTTTTGTCGGTTGTGGGGCTTGAACTCTGGGCCTGGATACTGTCCCTCAGATCTTCAGCTCAAGGCACACTCTATCACTTCAGCCACAGTATCACTTCTGGATTTTTCTGTTTATGTGGTGCTGAAGAATTGAACCCAGGGCCTCATGCATGCAAGGCAAGCACTCTACCACTGAGCCATCTTCCCAGCCCCCATTTGCTTTTTGATAGGCATATGTACACAGAATTAAGGATGGAGAAATAGTATATTACACAATTTAAACACAATTGGCACAGGATTGCTTGAATATTCTCTTATCAACTGAGCTGCTTAGTGGTTGTGTGTGAATCGTTGTGTTTTTAAATTTTTTTTGGGGGGGGGAGTCAGTCGTGGGGCTTAAACTCTGGGCCTGGGTGCTGTCTCTGAGCTCTTCAGCTCAAGGCTAGCAAGCTACCACTTGAGCCACAGTACTACTTCTGGCTTTCTGATGGTTTATTGAAGATAAAGGTCTCATAGACTTTGCTGCCCAGGCTGGCTTTGAACCTCAATCCTCAGATCTCAGCCTCCTGAATAGCTAGGATTACAGGTGTGAGTCATTGGCACGTGGCTGTTTTTAAATTTTTATTCTTTTTTTTGGTCCAGTCGCTTTGGGCCTGGGCGCTGTCCCTCAGCTCTTCAGCTCAAGGCTAGTGCTCTACCACTTGAGCTACAGCGCCACTTCTGGTTTTCTAGTAGTTTATTGGAGATAGGAGTCTCACGGTCTCTCCTGCCTGGGCTGGCTTTGAACCGTGATCCTCAGATCTCAGCCTCCTGAGTAGCTAGGATTACAGGCGTGAGCCACCGGCGCCCGGCTTCATTTTTAATTTTTTAATTTTTTTTTTTATTTTTACTTTTTTTTGTTGGTCAAAGGGCCTGAACACTCTGAGGGTGCTGTCCCTCAGCTATTGAGCTGAAGGCTAGCGCTCTACCACTTGAGCCATAGCGCCACTTGTGGCTTTTTCTGCTTATTTGGTGCTGAGGAATCCAACCTACGGCCAGTCCTGCATGCAAGGCAAGCAGTCTTACCACTGAGCCACCTTCCCAGCCCCTTAATTTATTTTTTGACCTTCTTAAATTAACTTTTGGCAAGGTTGAATTTTATCAATGTTCTGTTTTCTTTCTCTGATTTTAGATTTTTCATTTTAAATGTTTGTTTTGTCATAGTTAGAAAACTTTTCCTGCTTAAGATTTGGAGATAGGAGAATCATGGTTTGAAGTCAGCCCTGGTTAAAAAAAAGGTAGCTAGTACCTCAGAACAATTGGGGCATGGTGGTCCATGTTTATAATTTCAGCTATGTAGGAAGTATAGGTAGGATCATGAGGAAGACCAGGCTAGGCAAAAAGCTTGAAACCCTGAAAAAAAATGTGAAGAAAAAACAAAAGGCAGCAATGCTTGGCTAACGTGGTAGTAGGGCACTATACACTTGCATAGCAAGCACATATAGTTCATAGTTAAAAAGCGAATACTGCCAGAAAATCAAAAGGTTTTGTTTAATTTTAGCGATGATGATGATGCTGATTTTTGTTAGTTGTGGGGCTTGAACTCTGGGCCTGGGTGCTGTCCCTGAGCTCTTCAGCTCAAGGCTAGCACTCTACCACTTGAGCCACAGCGCCACTTCCAGTTTCCTGGTGGTTAATTGGAGATAATTTCAAGGACCTTCCTGCCCAGGCTGGCTTTGAACCTCGGTTCTCATGTTCTCAGCCTCTTGAGTAGTAGCTAAGATTACAAGCATGAGCCACTGGTGCCTAGTTTAGAAATGATTATTAAAATCACAAATTTATGACGTTTTGGTAATGCTTAGGGCATTTGTGTAGGAATTTGGAATTGTTTTAATTTATGGAGGAATTGGGATGAAATAGTATCACTAAATTGATTGGAAATGGAGGGTTGCTCTCATGTACACAGGATCCTCATGTGAAAAACAATTTTTATGAACCCCTGTATGACTTTGGTCTCTCTTTCTTTCTGTACTTAGGTTTGAATTCAGGGACTTGAGCTATAGGAAGGTACTCTGTTTGAGCTGCCGGCTCTATAGACTTTTTTCTTGCTAGAAATTCTTTTCATGGTTGAGGAGAAATAAAGCATACTTAGGCAAGCAGGATCAGAAGAGGGAAAAAAGGGGTTGGTTTTGACAGTATGTTTGAACTCAGGGTCTTGTGCTTATTTAGTAGGTAGGCAAATGCTCTACCATACAGCTTTTTTTTTTTTTTTTTTTTTTAGTTTTCAGATAGAGCTCATGGTTTTTGCCAGGGCTGTTTTTGGACCACAGTCTTTTTTACCTACACATCCTCTGTATCTGGAATTAACAGATACGTGTTACCACATTTGGCCTGTTGTTGTTTTGAAATAGAGAATATATGAATATTGTGAGTTCCATTAATATGGTTGTTGGTATTCTTTTTGTCAGTCTGTAGGTATAATGTTAGAGCCATGTAGTGACCATGGTGATAGTGAAGATGGCTATCTTGAGAGGTAAGCATTTCTCTTATTGCTGATAAATCACTGAGAATTGGAAGCCCTTCACAGATTTTGGGATGAAAATTTAAGATGACTATATCCATTATAACATAGTTTTAAAAATCTAAAAATTTGAACTTATTGTTTTAATGGTGGATATAAAACATTAAATAGCCACAGATGTCCAGAGTTTCACAACTTCAGACAGAAATTTTCATAACTTGGAAAATAGTCAAAGAGAAGAACACACTTTCTTGGAAATATCTAAAACCTTGATTTTTAGAAAAATTGAAATTTATTGATATTATGAGTACATCAGTAAGTTCAATCTTTCAACTGACTAACCAAAAGAAGAGGATATTTATTTAATTAGGTATTTACAGGATTTTTCTCTCCCCTTTACATTTGTCTTTGATATGTCCCAATACAAGCTTAAGCATTTACCTCCCTGGCCATCTATAAGACAGGGAGGAAATGCCTCCTGTCTCAGAAACTAAGATTTCAATCAAATGTAAAATCTTCCTAGGTAAGAATCTCTTTGGATAGAAGTTTTCTAGAGTGATTTAAGTCACTAGTCACGACTTAACCCTTGTAATTGTTGCCAAGAAATAAAACTTTCTTAGGAAAGATGATTTGATACTCTGAAAGCACTTAAGTTGATAAATATTGATCAATAATACCATTATTAATTTGCTGATAGCTTGTTGGCCACTGTAAACTTGTGTTATAAAGAAAGCCATTGTCTCTTAAGAGTAGGAAACCTGTTGCTAAGGGTAAGTAAATTCTTTGGAGCCATGTCTCTGGTGTGTCATCATACTCTGAAGGTCCACAGATTTCCTGCTTACAGCAGTTCCTTGTGCTTCCTTTCAGGAGGCAGGAATGATCCTCTTCCAGTCCAGGGAATTTTGGAGCTATGGGCTGAAGATTTAAGATTAACAGGCATCCCCAGAATGATGACATCTGGATTTGGTAGAACAATAAGGATCCATTTAGTGAGGACTCAAATCTTTTTGGAAAAGCTCTTTCCTCTTCAACTTGTATAGGTTGGCAAACTTGTTTTTAGATCCAGAGTGACTTGGCTAGGTCAGTTACATTTTGCATGTTTAATACTCACAGTTCTCAAATTTAGGTGGCTAGATCTTTAGATCTTTTAGTCTGTTAGGGTAGAATATACACATCCTATCCTAAGCAAAGGAGAACCTTGAGCTTTTGAGGACATTTATTTCACATGCTCATAAAGAATAAGGAAGATATATATGAAGAGATGACTTGCCATGTTTAAGTTAAGGCTGATCTTCTGCATTCTCACTCATTAGGACCAGATAGAAGTAGCACTTGAATATATTCTAAATTGCCACAGGTATCTTTGATAGGATAACAAACAACTTTCCTCAGTCAGCATATTGATAAGCTACTATGTAACAGAAGATACTCTGTTGATTGGCCAAATGAGTAGTGTTTGTGACAACTTGTTTTAACACTTGTTCTCTTTTTATGTGTGAGGATGCTATCGCTTAGCTTTTATACTTAAGGCTGGAGGTCTACCACACAAGCCACAGATCCACTCCTGGCTTTTTGATGTTTTGTTAGAAATAATAGTCTCACTATGACATTTTTGCCTCGTTGGCTTTGAACTGCAATTCTCAAATTTCATGGCTTGAGTAGCTAGGATTATGGGTGTGAACCACTAGTGCCTGTCATTTACACTTGCTCTTAATAGGTTTTGCTTATTTCTGGAGGGAATAAAAGGAAATCAGAATTGTTCTTTTTTATGTTACTATTATGTCTTTAGGTAGAAGATTTTAAGATGTAGTAACCTGTTAGGGTCTGGAGATACAGCTTGGTTGTAGAGCTTTTTTTGCCTAGCATGTTCAAGCCCCTAGTTGAATCCTCCAGCAAAACACACACACACACACACACACACAGAAGTAAAAGTAACCTTTAATTACAGTATAATCTTGTAATGGAATATAGATTTAAAGTAAAGTATAGACAAGCAGATGAATACCTTTTTAAATAACCTTAAAAAGGCTCAGACTGGGAAGAATAAAACTACTGGTTAAAACTAAAATTTGTTTTGTAAAATAATTTCCATTATGTACACATTCTTTTTGGTTCTATTGTGGATTTTAATGTTCTTTTTGTAAAGATTTTTATTTTTGAGGGGTAGATTTGCATGTAGAGAGGGTAGTGGGAAAAGTTGCTTCATTTTTCTAAACCTCAGGTGATTCTGTGGATCTTTACAGTATTGTGCACATTTTCAGATATAGGGCTCCAAAGAATGGGCATAGGCCCAGCTTTTCCTTCTTATGTTTTAAGTGCTAAATACATTAAGTAGGAGAGGAATATACGTAAGAAATAAGAGTAACTATTTTTAACATAATAATTTTACTTGTATTTTTAGGAAAGAATATTTGTTATTTGAAAATGATAAATTGTCACACTTAATTCTGGTAAGAACTATTTTTATCTTTTAGTTCTTGAATAAGTTGTTTTGGTTAATGCATCAATTATTATATCTAGCCTTAGTTTTTGCATTGGATAGGCTTAAAGGAGATTTAAATGAAAATATTCATCAAATGTGTGACAGCTAAGCAGAAACTTAATTTTCTACTTTTGGTTATAAGATTGTTGGTTATGCCAGGCGCTGGTGGCTCATGCCTGTAATCCTAGCTACTCAGGAGGCTGAGATCTGGGGATCACGGTTCAAAGCCAGCCTGGACAGGAAAAATCTGTGAGACTCTTATCTCCAGTAAACCACCAGAAAACCAGAAGTGATCCTGTGGCTCAAGTGGTAGAGCGTTCTCCTTGAGTTGAAGAGCTTGAGGGACAGCGCCCAGGCCCAGAGTTCAAAAGCCCCACGACCAAACAAAAAACAAAAGATTATTGGTTATGAAAATACTTTTTGAATTTAAGATCCAAACTTTGTCTCAATACAACATACTATAAAACCGCAAGTTAATATTTGAAAATAGTTTGGATTGTGGCAGTGGGAGAGCAGGCTTTAAAGGCACAGTAAACTAGTCTTGACTGTACAAGGATATGTGCTTTGCTGTCTTTAAGCCAGACATGAAAAGCTTCATGGTTGTGAAATGTGTTTTCTACTTTAAAATACAGGAGTCTAGTAGCAACATACGTGATTTGAATGCTAACACTGAATCAGAAATGCCAGGAAGTCAAAGTGTTGGTGTTCAAGGGGAAGCAGCATGTGTCCAAATTCCACATTTAGATCTGAAGAATGTTTCTGATGGTGATAAATGGGAAGGTAATTTTACCCAAACACATTATTTTCCTGATACTGTTATTTGTAACTGAAATTACCCGAAGTAGTAATGGGATTACTGCCCTTTTCTGGACACTCTTATTTGTCTTTGATTTCCCCTTCATATATGATATGAGGGTTTTTTGTTTGTTTTTGTTTTGCTTTTGGTGCTGGTACTGAGGCTTGAATTCAGCGCTTTGCTTAGCTTTCTTGTTCACAACTGGTGTTCTATCACTTGAACCACACCTTTAGTCTTGCATTTTGCTGGTTAATTGGAGATGGAGTCTCAAAAGACTTTTCTTCCCAGGCTGGCTTCAAACCTTGATCCTCCAGGTCTCACTCTCCTCAGTATCTAGGATGACAGCGGTGACTTCTTTTTTACTCAGATACACTAATGAGATTATGAGGAACTGGAACTAACTTAACCTTGATCTATTATCTTTGGAAATGGATGTTAGTGCTGGGCATGGTGACCTACGCCTGTAATTATGGCACTTATCAGGCAGGAAGATTTCTGAATTTAGAGCCAGCCTAGGCTATATATCAAGACCTTATCTCAGAAAACAAAAATGAATGATAGAATTGATGAAAAGTCTAAAGTCATCTCAGGCTTTTGTTAGATCAGAGGCTCTTTCTTCAGTCTTTGAAAATCCAGTGTAGTAGGGCTTGAGGATATCTCCAATTTAAGGACACTTAGCTATTATTTTTCACCAGGAATATTTAAAAATCTTCAGGGGCACTTCTAAGCAAATATTATGCCATATTTTCTCTCTCTGAATCAGATTATTGAAATATAATAATACCAAAAATTTTCACAAAGGAATGAATTTTAAATTTAGTAGGCATTAAGAGAATCTTAAATTGTAATTGAATTGAACTTCACTGAATTATTTGTAAGCAGGAGTGTTTGTGGGGAAAATTATATTGAAATCCTTGAAAAAAATGTTAGTGATAAATCTAGGTAATTTTTTTTTTTTGGAATTGTTATATTAGTGTTCACTAAAATTTTTTCAATATGTTGTATTTTTGTCAACTCAAGTAAAATGTTGAAGAAAGGGGGAACAAGACACATATTTTTGAATATAGTCTTTCTGAATCATAATATTTCTAGGTGAAGAAAAGAATAAGACAACTTAGGAATTTTAATCGTTTATTTGTTCATGGGATGATGATCCACAGATTATTTTACCTTTAGTAAGTTATTTGGTGACATACAATGGTTATAATAATCAATGAAATTATAATGCCAGTGCTCTTTCTTTGGCCACAATAAGTCCACTTACCTGATCATAATTACAGTGTATGTGGTTTCTTTTTAAGGTTTAAGCATTTGTTAAAAAAAATTGCTACCAATATTTGTCTATGCCAAACTTTATTGCTGTCTACCACTTTGTTTTTAGAACTCTCTGATGCCATATAGTAGGCATATTATGAGTTTTAAACTAAATCAGGAAATTGTCTTTTGTTTGCATTGTTTTGAGTTATTCAGGACTTTGGAATTTTTGAAGGCTTCAGATTTAGAGGATATGTTCGCATACTGATGGCAGTGAAGAATAAATGTAGCATTTTAGTTTCTTATTGGAGCATAGTCATTGAAAATAACCAGTGGCTGACAGTAATCTTTTGAGCCTTGAAAAGAAAGGAGTTTCTGAAAGATAAGGCTGGGGATTCCAATGCACTTTTGCTTCTTAGAAGCTGCAGATGAATAGCTGTTTATGATATTTGGTGGTGGGATCCTGATCCTAAGTTTCAAGCATGGAAATGTAATTTTTTTTCATGAGTAAATTGGGCATTTTTTTCTCTCTGGCTTCAATTCTCTAGTGGCTCCCAAAAGAGAGCCTCTTATATTCCTTGTCAGAGTCCAACTTCTGTAGCTTTTTGCAGGGGATGGATATTTCATATGGACTACTGATCAGTGTCTTTAAATGCCTGAGATGCCCTATTACTATCTGACTCAAAAGTTATGACAAAGCTGGGCATCAGTAGCTCATGCCTACAATCCTAGCTACTCGGGAGGTTGAGATCTGAGGATCATGGTTCGAAGCCAGCCCAGGCAGGAAATTCCGTGAGATTCTTATCTCTAATAAACCACTCAGAAAACTGGAAGTGGTGCTGTGGCTCAAGTGGTAGAGTGCTAGTCTTGAGCTGAAGAGCTGAGGAACAGCACCCAGGCCCAGAGTTCAAGCCCCATGACCACCACCACCACCACCACCACCAACAACAACAAAAGTTATGACAAGCTCACGTAGACATCCTAGCTTGCTTTTCCAAGTGGAGGTCAAGGCATTCTGAGAACCAATTGTAGCATACAGCTGAAATTCCTAGCTCTGGACTGTGTATGTTTGGCAGATTGGCTATCAAGAAACTCTACTGTTTCTTTCAGATTTACCACTAGTATTAAATTGACTTTTCACAATTAGGTAGGTGTCAAGATATTTTATACATAAAGTCTTAAGACAATAAAATTGTTTAGATTCTGGGTACTTTGAAATCAGAGACATAATCTTGTTTGTGACTCCTAGTAGAGAAGTGAGGTTGACTGAATTGAGCCCACGCCACTATTTCCTAGTATGTCCTTTTTGTTTTTTGTGTTCCTTCAAGTGTAATTAATTAGCAAGCAAGTTGTATCAGTATGAATTTGAAGCAGCTCTTCAAAAAGGTTTAACTTTTAATTACCTTTCCCTCAAATTCTCTCCTGCTGACTCTGGAATAAAATAGTATCTTTTTTTTTCTTTTCTTTTTGCCAGTCATGGAGCTTGAACTCTGGGCCTGGGCTCTGTCACTGAGCTTTTGTTCAAGCTAGTGCTTTACCACTGGAGATACAGCGCTAATTCCAGCCTTTTTTGAGTAGTGTTTATTGGAGATGGGAGTCTCATGAATTTTTCTGCCCAGTCTAGCATTGATCTGTGATCCTCAGATCTCAGCCTCCTGAGTAACTAGAATTACAGGTGTGAAGCCACTGGCTCCCAGCAAATAGTACAGTCTTTACAAAGCATAACCAGAAGGGATCTTTCCTGTCTTTTGTGTTCTCATTTTGTTCTGAGGATTGAATTTAGGACTTCGTACATGCTAAGCAAGGACGCTACCATTACCTACACTCCTAGCCCCTGTCAAGGAGATTTTTTTTCTGTCTTACTATACTGAAAAACTTCAAATATTTGTGGTTACGAGTTTCCATTTCTTCTGTTTTATTTTTGTGTTTTAATAAAATAGCATTACTTTTTTTTTTTTTGCCTTGCTTGCTGAAATGGAAATGTGTGTTTGTGTCAAAGTTCAGTTAGTAGCAATGTCTTTGAACAACAGTTTTTGAGCAGAATGCCTAGCTGGTCTTAGGGGAATGTTTTTGGTATATTTGGCTTTTGTGTTATGTGTATGGTTTGTTCTGACTGTGCTGTGTGTTCACTCTAGTATTTTTTGCCATTTTTTCCATTTTATTAGCGTCATGCCCTATCACTTTCCCCCTCATTGATTTCAAAACAATGCATCTGCAGAGAGATGGGGAGGGTAAGTATGGTTCACCATAGTTTAGATTTCTTGCCTTTTAATGGTTCACTTGGTTTTATAAGCCCTTCTCCTGCTGTCCCTAAATTCTCCTGATGTCTTGGGTTAAAAATGATACCCAGAAAAAAAAATCTTAAAAAATGTCCTTTTATTAAAACAGGAGATTTCTCAAAAAAATGTTTATTTCCAGTTACATTTGCTGGGACACAGGTACAAGGGTTGTGCTGAAGTTACTTTATTGCTGTTTTTTAGTGGGATTGCATGCTTTGTATCCAATTTTTACTTATCAGATTGACTTTCAAAAATAAACTAAGTTATGTTCTAAAAACCATAGAACAAATAATGCTTTAAGTAGCTAATGCATTTAACTACTAAAGTATTAAAGTAGCAGCTTTAACTATTATGTGAAAAAAAAAGGAAATAATCACTTTTGAATTTTGACACAGTCAAGCCATCTTTCCATTCATTTTTGCTATTACTAGTAGTGGTAGTGTCATAGTTTTAATTTTTAATTATAACCAACGTGTGCTTCAGTGATGCTTGAAATTAACTTTATAGTTGGGGTGTATTTGTGGGTATTATGCCTGACCTGTATATGCTCCCTATGTAATCAAACTTTATTTATGCAGAGACATCAGTTTTTTAATAACATGGTTTCATTTGAGAGCATACACAGTAATTCCAACAAAATAAATATGTTTTAACTAAGTGCTATTAATTTTTCTCTCAATTATACTGCCCAGACACACACACACAAAATATAGAAATCCTATAATAGAAAATAATTGTCACGGTTTAATGTTAGAAGCCAGGTACTACCAGGTGAGTTAGCTCCTCTTTTGAAAACAATGGAATTGTTATGGGGTCAGAAGGAGTTTAAGGGTTCTGTATAGAATTGGGAAGATGTTCCATATCTTAAATACTTGATAGTGAAGGACAGTTTGTAAACATGTGTTTTTTGTTGTTTTTGGTACTGGGTTTGAACTCAGGGTCTGGGCCCTGTTGTTTAGCTTTTTTGCTGAAGGCTAGTGCTCTATCACTTAAGTCACAGGTCTACTTTGAGCTTTTTACTGGAAGTTGGAAATAAGAATCTCATAGACTTTCCTGCCCAGCTGGCTTTGAACTATCTCTTCAGATCTCAGCCTCCTAAATCGCTAGATTTTACAAGCCTGATCCACTGGTTTCTGGCTGAGTGTTTAGTTTCTAAGCAAAGATTTAACATGAAAAATAATTTTTTAAGCAACATTTTTACAATATTAAGTTAGGGTTATATTAAATAACATCTTTAGAATTAAAATCTAAAGGACTTGACAATGGGTTTAGAAGTTTAAGGTAAATTTAAATTTAAGGTATAGCTCCTTGTGAAAATAGAATATAGGGTAAAATAAGAGACTTGGATAATTATAAACATAACAGTAGGCATTATAAAGATTCTGATATCTCTTGTGTTTGTTTTACAGAGCCATTTCCTGCTTTTAAGTCTTGGCAGGAAGATTCTGAGTCTGGAGAAGCTCAGCTGTCTCCACAAGCTGGAAGAATGAATCATCATCCTTTGGAAGAGGATTGTCCCCCAGTACTATCACATCGAAGTTTAGATTTTGGGCAAAGCCAGCGTTTTCTACATGATCCAGAAATGCTAGATTCTTCATCTAAAGCACTTTCTTTTGCTCGGTATATGATTTTATGCGTTTTAAGAGGCAATTCCTGTTATGTGCCCAGGTCCTCTGGGGGATTCCAGGCCTATAGTTCAAAGCCTTTTTCCTATTTTCTTTAAGTATTTTTGTAATTTTTTCTCCCTGCTATTCTGAGTTCATTGAGTTATATGTAGTGCTTAGGGTTTGCTATCACATAGATATTTCCTCATTATTTCTCATTCATTATTCCAGAATCCTGAATGGAAACCAGCATATACAACTGATCTGTTCCTAATTTGTTTTTCAATTTTTTAGTTGTTGTTGATTGTGGAGCTTGAACTCTGGGCCTAGGCTCTGTCCCCTGTCCTGAGCTCAAGGCAAGTGTCTACCACCACCTGAGTCACAGTGCCATTTCCGGTTTTCTGGTGGTTAATTGGAGATAATAGTCTCACAAACTTTCCTTCCTGGGCTGGCTTTGAACTGTGATCCTCAGATCTCAGCCTCCTGAGTAGCTAGAATTAAAGGCGTGAGCCTCCAGCACCCAGCTGTTCCTATTTTTTTTAAAGCAATTATACAAGGGTTTCAATTTGTTCATAGTGTTTTTGTTAAATTTGATTCTCAAAGTTAAATCTTTTTGTCCTCCACAGTTTTTTTTTAATATTTTAAAGTGCTTTGACCTTCTAAATGTCTTCGCTTCTTTTTGTCAAGAAAGTTTTAAATGATTCCAAATTCTCTTCTTCACCACTTAGATTAGCCAATTTTGTGGTCTATAATAGTATTATTAACTGTTAGTATTCTTTATTAACTGTTCAGTGTTAGGAACTCAGTTTTACTTTGTGCGTGTGTGCATGTATATGTGTGACGTGCACGCACATGCACATGTGTGTTGATACTGGGGCTTGAACTGAGGACTTGCAGTTCTTACTTGGCTTTTTCACTCAAGGTTGGTACTCCACCACTAGAGATACATCTCCACTTCTGGCTTTTTGCTGGTTAATTGGAGAGAAGAGTCTCATGGGATTTTCTGCCACTGTCTTTGGACTGAGGTCCTCAGATCTCAGCCTCTTGAGTAGCTAGTATTACAAGCTCCATCAGGAAGTGTCTGTCATAAATTCACCAGTAAGGTATACTTCCTTTTAATAGTAATCTATCAGGACAATAAGTGATAAAACATTGATAGTTGTAAAGGTAATACATACTGTTACACTGTTTGAATTCAGGATTCGAAGATCATCCTTTGGTTTAAAAGATGAAAAAAGAGAAGATAGAACACCTTACCAATTGGTCAAGAAACTTCAGAAAAAAATCAGACAATTTGAGGAACAGTTTGAAAGGGAAAGAAATAGCAAGGTAAGTTTTTAACATAATTTTAAAGCTAGAGTAATATTAGAACTATGAGGAGGATCTTTATAGAGAGCATTAGTGTAGCCCTGATAGATGTAGTAACAAATCTGAGATAACTAAAGAAATTTTGATAATTAAAAGTCTGAGAACAAATGGATTTTTAGGCTTTTGGATTCTAAGCGAGTGTTTTACCATTCTAACATTGCCTCTTTTTATTTCTACTGGCAGAACAGCTTTTAGAATTTCTAAAGCAAAATACTTTGACAAGTCATATTTTTGCTATTTCTGCTTTATCAGAAATAAAAAAGAGAAGAGGAAAAGCAAGGGAGGGTGGGAGAAAAAGAATCTGTGCTTTAATAATTAGAACATGTGTAGTGGAATGAGGCCTAAATATTTGAAGACAGACCCATGTTCAAAAGTGATTTCCCAGTTCAAAAAGCTTCTTTGAAAGAGGATGTGCTTAATCTCCTGCCCTAGCTTATGAGTAGAGATGAAGTGTAAATGAATTATGTGCTGTAGAAACCATAAAATACTATTTGGGCATAAAAGAACATAATAATTGCTTATCTCGAATGTCAGTGATAATTGCTTTATAATTTTTCAGCCCTCCTACAGTGATATTGCAGCCAACCCAAAGGTTTTAAAATGGATGACAGAGCTTACCAAACTGCGGAAGCAAATTAAAGGTATAACATGTGCCATTTTGTAATATATTTGCCTTTCTTTCTTTCTTTCTTTCTTTCTTTCTTTCTTTCTTTCTTTCTTTCTTTCTTTCTTTCTTTCTTTCTTTCTTCCCTTCCTTCCTTCCTTCCTTCCCTCCCTCCCTCCCTCCCTCCCTCCCAGTCCTGGGGCTTGAATTCAGTGCCAGGGCACTGTCCTTGAACTTCTTTTGCTCAAGGCTAGCACTCTACCACTAGAGCCATAACACCACCTCCAGCCTTTTCTGTTTCTGTGTTACTGAGGAATTGAACCTAGAGCTTCATGCTTTCTTGTAAGCACTCTACCACTGAGTCACCTTCCTAGCCCTTGCATGTAATTTTATTGTTTTTTACATATGCTGGTACTGGGGCTTGAACTCAGAGCCTTCTGCTGCTGCTGCTTAAACAACCCTTTCCCCAAGACTGGCATACCACTTGAATATACTCTTCTATTTCTAGCTTTTAGCTGGCTAATTAGAGATGGGTCTCTTCAAATTTGTCTGCCTGGGGGTGCTGGCTTTGAACTTAAATTCTCAGATCTCAGCCTTCTGAGTAACTAAGATTATAGGAGTGACCTAGCACCAACTAACAGTTTTTCAGCACAAGTATGCATTTGTGTTCTTTCAGTAGTTAAGATCAACATTGTAAACTATTCTTTCAAATAGCTTTCCTTTGTGTTTATTAGTATTCTTTTGAGGATGCCCTAGTTTATATTCATAGCTGACCTAATGCCATATTAAGCAGGTGGTTTTTTGTTGTTTGTTGTTTTTTATGCTAGTCCTTGGGCTTGAATTCAGGGTGTTGTCTCTGAGCTTTTTTGCTCAAGATTAGCACTCTACCACTTGAGCCACAGCTCTATATCTGGCTTTTTGGTGGTTAACTGGAGTTAAGAACCTCATGGACTGCCTGGCATTGGTGGCCCATGCCTGTAATTATAGTTATTCAGGAGGCTGAGATCTGAGGATCCCATTTGAAGCCAGCCTGGGCAGGAAAGTCTATGATACTCCTATCTCCAGTTAATCACAGAAAAAGCCAGAATTGGCTCTGTGTCTTCAAAGTGGTATAGCACTACTAACCTTGAGCAAAAGAACTCAGGGACAGTGCCTAGGCCCTGAGTTCAAGCCCCACAACTGTCCATCCCCCAAAAAACAAAACAAAACCAACCTCATGGACTTTCCTGCCCAGGCTGGCTTTGAACTACTATCCTCAAATCTCAGCTTCCTGTGAGCCACCAGCACCTGTCATTATTAAACAATTTTTTATAGATATTTATGTATTTGTTGATTCATTTGGTGGTAGTGGTGGTGGTGGTAGTTTTGCCATTTGAGAAACTTTAGCATGTGTACATGTCCTTGGAAGTCATTTCATTAAGATTTTTCAGTGAGCTGGGTGCTGGTGGCTCAAGCCTGTAATCCTAGCTACTTAGGAGGCCGAGGTGGTTCAAAGCCAGCTGGGCAGGAAAGACCGTGAGACTCTTATCTCCAATTAACTACCAGAAAACTGGAAATAGTGCTGTGGCTCAAAATAGTAGAATGCTCCCCTTGAGCTGAAGAGCTAAGGGAGTTCAAGGCCCAGAGTTCAAACCCCACAACTGACCAAAAAATATAAAAGATTTTTCAGTGAGTATTTTATCTAGGAATGTTTTGTCAAGGCTCAGAAGTATAGCCCGGTAGCAGAATGTTTACCTAGCACATATGGTACCCTAGGTTTGGTCCCCAGCACCTCATAAAGTAGGTATAGTGGAGTTGTTGACATTACAAACAGTAGATTGCTAAATTGTAAGTCTTCTTGAATCATAAACTATCCTATACAGTTTTGGGTGTCAGACCAGGATAGCAATTATTGAGCAGTGAGTGTTCAGTGAACAGAGTTTCAATGGATAGCCCAAGCTTGAAGTTGTGATCCTTCTGCCACAACCTTCCAAGTGCTGGTATTAGAGGTGTATACCACCATGCACAGCTTGTGAATATGCTTTTTTTTTTCTTCCAAGCTCCCACATTGGGGCTTGAGTTCAAGGCGTGGGACACTATCCTTTAGCTTTTTTGCTGAAGGCTGGTACTCTCCCACTTGAGCCACAGCTTCATTTCTGACTTGTTACTGGTTAGTTGAATCTCCTGGACTTTTCTGTCCTGGACAGACTAGCTTTGAACAGTGATCCTCAGATCTCAGCCTTGTGAATAGCTAGGATTACAGGTAGGAAGCATTGCCTTAGTTTGGGTCATACATTTTTTTCTTCTTCTGTACTGTGGTCAGGTTCTTTCTATTCCATGTTCAGCTAGAATGATACCATTCAGAAAGGTTTTGTTAACCCTTTTTAGTGTAGTTGCTCTTCTACAAAATACTTCTATCACTGTAACATCATTCTTTTTTTTTTTTTTTTTTGGTGCCCATCCTGGGATTTGAACTGTCCTTGACCTTTTGTTTCTGTTTTTGTTTTTTTGTGTGTATGCTGTTCTTGGGCTTGAACTCAGAGTGCTATTCCTGAGCTGTTTTGCTCAAAACTAGTGCACTTTAAGCCACAGCTTCACCTCCCACTTTTTGGTGGTTTATTGGAAATAAGAGTCCCACAGACTTTCCTGCCCAGGTTGGCTTTGAACCATGATTTTCAGATCTCTGCCTCCAGAGTAACTCAGATTATAGGCATGAGCTACTGGCATCTGGCCATTTTGTTTTCTTTATAGACTTAAATTCTTTTTTTTGGTCAGCGGTGGGGCTTGAACTCAGAGCCTGGGAACTGTCCCTGAGCTCTTCAGCTCTACCATTTTTAATTCACAGCACCACTTCCAGTTTTCTGGTGGTTAACTGGAGATAAGAGTCTCAAGGACTTTCTTGTCTAGACTTGCTTTAAACTGAGATCCTCTTATCTCACCCTCCTGAGTAGCTAGGATTAAAGACATGAGCTACTAGCACCTAGCTTAGCCCTAGCATTCTTTAAAATGGTTTCATTTGTCAAATTATTTCCTTTTTTTTCTCTTCATGAACAAATACCTGTTTTGTTTACTTAATCTGAGTATCTTTATGTGAATATTGCTGTATATAATTTAAATACTTTGTTGTAGAAATACTTGAGTCTTTGTACTACTAATTATTAATCTGTCCTCTTTTATAGATGCAAAACATAAAGGCTCAGATGGAGAATTTGTACCTCAGACACGACCACGTAGCAATACTCTTCCAAAAAGTTTTGGCTCTTGTCTAGAGCATGAAGATGAAGAGAAGGAAGGTGAAGTCAGAGTCATTCAGAAGGAGAAGAAACAATCTAAAGAAGTAACTCTTGAACTGATTCTGAAAAGATTGAAGGAAAAACGTGTTGAAAGGTGTCTTCCAGAAGATGTTAAGGTAATACTGAACTATAATGTGATTTTTACCCCATGTAGCCTTTAGAATCTGAATCAAAAAAATTGCTACAGCAGTGTGTGAGATAATGTGGGTAGGTTGTATGGATTGTCCACTTCCTAGGTTTGCAGATTGAAAACATGCATTTATCAATACATCATAAATGCTAAATATTTCAGTGGTTAAGTCACAATAATAAAGTTACAAAATTACATTGATTTATGGGAGGTGCAATTAGTAAGATGAATGTGTGTAAAGGACATGAAATGGTGTTGTTTGACTAGTCCTTTTTGACTGATATATGTAGATGTGATTGTACCTGTTAAAGTACTAATTTGATATTATTAGAATTAAATGATTATTAGAATTAAATGAATTAATTTGTTATTTTTTTAGGTGGTACTAGGTTTGAGTTCCATGTCTTGTACTTGCTCTATCACTTGAACTACAGCTTTGAAATTTTTTGCTTTAGTTATTTTTCATATGATGTCTTGAAAAAGCCTGCAGCTGGCCTAGAATGTTGATCTTCCTGCTGAAGGCCTCCTCAGTAGCTAGGATGACAGACTTGGCTTGTTTTGTTGAGATATGGGATCTCATTAACTCTTTGCCTTGGCTGACTGCAAACCTTATCTTTTTTTTTTTTTTTTGTCGGTCATGATGCTTGAACTCTGGGCTTGGGTGCTGTCCCTATGCTCTTCAGCTCAAGGCGAGCACTCTACCACTTGAGCCATAGCACACTTCATGTTTTCTAGTGGTTTATTGGAGATAAGAATCTCTCAGACTTTTCCTGCCCAGGCTGGCTTTGAACTATGATCCTCAGATCTCAGCTTCCTAAGTGACCAAGATTACAAGTGTGAAGCCATTGGCACCTGGCCTAATCTTTCTTATCTCTATGCATTCTTAGTATTAAAAAAAAATTTTTTTTCCCCAACTGATCCTTGGGTTTGAACTTGGGGCCTGGGCACTCTCTCTGAGCTTCTTTGGCTCAAGGCTAGACACTTGAGCCACAGTGCCACTTCTGGCTTTTTCTGAGTAGTTGATGTATTTATTTTTTAAATCCCAATGTCTTTAATTTTATTGTCAAGGTGATAACAGAGGGGTTACAGTTACATATGTAAGGTAGTGAGTACATTTCTTGTCCAATTTGTTACTCATTTTTCTCCTACTTAAGCCCCCCTTCCCCTTCCAACCCCAAAAGTAGTTTAGTGGAGATAAGCGTCTCATGGACTTTCCTGACTAGGCTGGCTTCCAAATAAAATCCTCAGGTCTCAGACTCCTGAATAGGTAAGATTACAGGGGTGAGCTGCTGGTGCCTGGCTTTGAATTAAATGTTTTGAAGAAGAATTAATCTTGGTCAGTAAAGGGCTGGGAAGGTGGCTCAGTGGTAGAGCGCTTGCCTTGCAAGCATGAGGCCCTGGGTTCAATTCCACATAAGCAAAAAGAAAAAAGCCGGAAGTGGCGCTGTGGCTCAGGTGGTAGAGCACTAGCCTTGAGCTGAAGAGCTGAGGGACAGCACCCAGGCCCAGAGTTCAGGCCCCACGACTGGACCCCCCCAAAAAAAAGAAAAAAAAAAGAACTTAAAATCTTGGTCAGTAAAGTATATATGGAAGGCAACTCAGGTGAAAGCACTTGGCAGTTTAAATCATGTGTCAGAAGAGATTTTCAGGTGAACGTTTTGTCTAGGTAATAAATGGTAAGTTCTCCCACAGTTATCTTGACAGGTGTTCTTTCATGTTCTAAATTTTGGAGTTTTGGTTTCCTTTGAATAGTCAATTTCACCTTTCCCTTCTCTCATCTGTTTCTTTTCTTGTTATAGAACGACACTGTCCTTTTCTTATAGGGGATTTGATTGGATTAGCTTTACTCAAATTATAGGTTTAAGGTTAGAACTTGATTGAAATAATAGTAGTAGATAAGCTACTTTGTTATATGGCACCTCCTTTGTACAACTAAAAGATAATTTTTTAAAAAAAAGTATTAGCCTACTTTTAGTTATCTACACTAATATAATGACATCATGCTTGTTATAGGAAGATACATTCAATGAACCTTAAAAAAAATTTTTTTTATTATAAAGGTGAGGTATAGAGACGTTACGGTTTCATAAGTCAGGTAATTAGTCCATTTCTTTTTGCGTATCACCCCCAAAGAACATCTTTAAACCTCTAATTTCACTGTGATGAAAGACAAAGTAGTAGTAACTAATCCTAGAAATAAGTACAGTTGTTGGGAATGTAGCTCTATCTCCTGGTTTTGATCCTCAGCATTTCAAGAAACAAAACAACAAAAAGCTGGGCACTGGTGACTCACATCTCTAATCCTAGTGCTACTTAACTGCCTGAGATCTGAGGATCATGGTTGGAAGCCAGCCTGGGCAGGAAAGTCCATAAAAAGTAGAGCTAGAAGTAGAGCTGTAACTCAAATGGTAGAAGTCTAGTCTTGGGTCAGAGAAACACAGAGACAGTATCCAGGCCCTGAGTTCAAACACCAGAATCCATATAAACACAAACACACACAAAATGATAAGTAGAGTTTATTTGACCAGTTGAAAAGTATTCCTGTGGAATATTGCTTCATTGAGATGATAATAGGGTGATTCTATGGTACAAAGGGGAAGAGTATATGGACAAATAAATTTTGAGAAATTCTGCCTACTCCACCATTTAGAATACTTGAAGATATAAGTATATTTATTGCAGGGTAAAACATTTCCCAACCCAGATGAAGTTTAAGTTGACACTTGGTATTTCTCTTGTATCTTTCCACAATACTGGCACATGGTTTCCTTATTAGCTTAGGAGATACATTGGGTTATAAAATCTTTGTATATAAATGTCTCTGTGTGTATATTTGTGTTACTAGAAATTTAGGGCAGCTAAGTTGAATTCAGGCAAGAGACGAAAATAGTAAAGCTAACAGGAAAGTTTATTAGAAAAGAAATATGGCAGAGAAAGGGAATATATGACATAGCCCTTCACCCCATCTCAGCCATCATGAGGTTAAATATGGAGCACTGGAGGTCCTTGACAGCATTCTAATTGGTGGTGGTGCTCCTTTCTGTACCCTAGAAGGTCAAGGTCCCTAAGATTAAAGTGTTCAGTTCTTATTTCTTTTGTCCTTTTAAAAAATTATTATTTGTTATTATAAAGGGGATGTACAGAGGGTTTACATTTATACAAGCCAGGTAAAGAGTACATTTCTTTTTGTTGTTGTTTTTGGTCGTGGGGCTTGACCTCTGCCTGGGCGCTGTCCCTCAGCTCTTCAGCTCAAGGCGAGTGCTCTACCACTTGAGCCACAGGGGCACTTCCAGTTTTCTGTTGGCTTACTGGAGATAAGTCTCACGTACTTTCCTGCCCGGGCTGGCTTTGAACCGTGATCCTCAGATCTCAGCTTCCTGAGCAGTTAGGATTACAGGCATGAGCCACCAGCACCTGGATTACATTTCTTTTTGAATAGTGTTACCCTTCCCTTGCTCTCTCCCAGTTTTCTCTTCCTACCCCTTCCCCCTACAAGTTGTATAGTCATTTTCAACATACTGTCTAGTGAGAACCCCTGCTACATTTGTTCACCTTTGCAAATTGAAACAGAGGAGCACCATGCACTGAAATAGTTGAAGGTTCTTTATTAAAGCTGGTGGTAGAGAGCTGGCTGTTGCCACAAAGGGAAGTTGAGTAGAATTTTTAAAGGCAGAAAAGCTTAATTGGTGTCAGGGAAGCTAGGTACTGACCAATTGAGGAGACAATTGGAGCAACAAGGAACCTACCAGAGGAGGTCTTAATTTAACTCCAGATGGCCCTTACAGTGAAACTTCAGGTGGCCCTTTGCTATAAAACTGGAGTTAGGGGAAGGTTAGGTATTTCATTACCCCCTCTAATAGTAATTAATCAAAGCACTGATTTAGCCTTGAGTAATTCTGGTTTGTTATGTAGGTTTGTCCCTCCATTTCTGTGCCTCCCCTTATACTCCCAAAGACATAAATGAACAAACAGAAAAAGAAAACAAAACAGCAACCCCCCCCCAAAAAAAAACAACAACCCTTGTTTCCATTCCCTGGAGTTCATTTTGATAAATACGATTTTGTTTGAGCAGATGCACATAGGCATTGTGCCTTTGTGTTCCTAGAGTATCCTCCTTTGATTGCACTGTGTGTGAATGCTTGGGATCCTGTATAATTTACCATGTCTCAGTGCATTTTAGATCTAGCTTCCACAAATGATAGAAAATACGTGCTATTTGTCTCTCTGAGCTTGGCTTACCTCATTTAACATGATTTGTTCTAGGTTCATCCATTTTCCTGCAAATGACATAAAGCTATTTTTTCTAATGGCTTTGTAAAATTCCATTGTGTATAGGTACCATATTTTTTGGATCCATTTATTGTAGGCATCTAGGTTGTTTCCACAACTTGGCTACTTTGAGGACTGAAGCAATGAATATGGCTATGCAAGTGTCTTTATGGTATCTTGACTTGTGATGTTCTGAGTAGATGTCCAAAAGTGGTATTATAGCTAGGTTAGTGTTTTGTTTTCTCTCTTTCTCTTTCTCTCTTTCTTTCTGTCGTGAGGCTTCAACTCTGGGCCTGGGAGCTATCTTTCAGCTCTTCAGCTCAAGGTGAGCACTCTACCACTTGAGCTACAGCGCCACTTCCAGTTTTCTGGTGTTTATCGGAGATAGTAGTCTCACGGTCTTTCCTGCCTGGGCTGAATTTGAACCTCGATCCTCAGATCTCAGCCTCCTGAGTAGCTAGGATTACAGGTGTGAGCCACCAGCGCCTGGCTTTGTTTTGTCTTCTTTTTGCTGGTCCTGGGGCTTGAACTCTGGGCATGGGCACTGTCCCTGAGCTTCTTTTGCTCAAGGCAAGCATTACCAGCTTTTTTTGAGTAGTTTTTTGGAATCTCATGGAGTTTCCTGCCCTGGCTGGTTTTGAATCATGATCCTCAGATCTCAGCCTCCTGAGTAGCTCAGATTACAGGTGTGAGCCACTGGCACCTGGCTCTATGTTTAGTGTGTGTGTGTGTACGTGTACTGGCACCTGGCTCTATGTTTAGTGTGTGTGTACGAGTACTGGCACCTGGCTCTATGTTTAGGTGTGTGTGTGTGTGTGTTCCTGTTTAGGGTGTGTGTGTGTGTGTTCCTGTTTAGGGTGTGTGTGTGTGTGTTCCTGTTTAGGGTGTGTGTGTGTTCCTGAGTAGCTCAGATTACAGATGTGAGCCACTGGCACCTGGCTCTATGATTAGGGTGTGTGTCTGTGTGTGTGTGT